ATCTATCTATCTATCTATCTATCTATCTATCTATCTATCTATCTATCTATCATCTCTATCTTTTTCCCTCTTTGTTCCTTCTTCCTTTCTACCTTCTTTCCTTCCCTTCCTCTGTCTCTTTGCCCTCTTTCGCTCTTTTAGCTCAGTGATATATTGTTAATAGTCCATATAATCTCTGACCATATACTCTTGAGAATAGTCCTGTAGATGGATTGGACAGATGTGCCAATGTTTCTCGCCTGTGCAGTCCACTCACTGGACTCTGAATGGCCCATGCATTGTAAGCAGCGCTTCACGCTTCACATCTGCTTCTCTCTTGTCACAACTACTGTCTTGTTTTTAGGCCAGTGGCTGTTACACGGCTTTGGTGTAGCTTTTCCAGAGAGGCTTTCCATTCTAAACCTCTTGTACATATTATATCAGATATGTACCCTTCACATATCAGACATGTGACACCAAGAAACATGACAGCTGCAAGTGGAAAATGATATTCTTTGCTTTAGCATGCCCTACAGAAATCTCTCTACTCCTTCTCACAAACACACGTCAGCAGGTGGCCCTCACCTCTGGCTGACGTTGTCACTGATGTTGTCCATGTTTTCTCCTTAAAGTCTTCAACAGAAGGATGATCAGCTTCTGCACATCCTGGCAAAGTCCTGAGTCAGCTTGGGGAAACTATGTTCTGACCTGAGGTGGGGCATCTGACAATGCTTGGTGTGCGGGGACAGACGGTTAACTGCCGCATGCTAATGAGAATGCCCAGGCACATGCTCTCCTGGGCATTTTCTCAGCCTTGTCCTGTTGTTTGGGGTTTGATGGTGAGAGAGACCTTTCCTCAGCTTTTCTTCTAGGGCTTGCCTTCCCATTACACAAACAATTTTCAATTAGCTCATATAATTAGCCTGCACTAGTATTCTGTGCAGGGAGGTCTAGAGAGAGCAGGTACGAATGGCCCACTGCTAGGAAAGTGTTATTCTGGCACACGGGAGACTAATTTTTTCAGTTGTATTATCTATTGTCAGGAATTGTGAGTTCTACAACCAGGAGACAATTAGGAAACTTGCAGGGAACAATTGGGAAAGCCATTCAGTGTATGGTGATAAAAAAAAAGCAATTTCATTTTCTTAGAAATAATTATTTAGCCCTATTTTTGTCATGGTCTGTTAAAGAGTTAGAATTTTCTCTTTCATCGGGTGATTTGTCCCTTTCAGGTTGCTAAAATAGGATTTAGGAGACAGAGTTACAGTGGGAGCGAAATAGCACTCTTTTTATTTCTGCCTAGTGTTGACTACATTTTTGAATAAAAGGACAATTAAGCAGTAGAATTAGGACAATCAGGAGAATGAGTCTCATGCATGGCAATTTTCTTTCTCTGTCTCTGTCTCTCTCTCGTGTGTGTGTGTGTGTGTGTGTGTCTGTCTGTGTGTCTGTCTCTGTCTGTGTGTCTGTCTCTCTCTGTTTCTCTCTCTCATGTGTGTGTGTGTGTTTGTGTGTGTGTATCTGTCTGTCTGTCTATCTCTCTGTATCTCTGTCTCTGTGTCTGTTTCCCTCTATCTCTCTGTGTGTCTGTCTGTCTCTGTCTGTTTCCCTCTCTCTCGAGTATGTGTCTGTGTGTGTCTGTCTGCCTGTCTCTCTGTGTCTCTGTGTGTGTGTCCCTGTCTGTATTGTCCCTCTGTGTATATGTGTCTGTCTATCTGTGTTTGTGTCTGTCTCTGTGTCTCTGTCTGTCTGTGCGTGTCTATTTCTGTGTGTGTCTGTCTGTCTCTCTGTATCTCTTTCTGTGTGTGTAGATATGTTTGTCTCTCTATCTATGTGTATATGTGTGTTGTATATGCTCATTAACGAGGCTGTGTGGACATATGCATACATTCACGTGCTTGTCCATGAAGTTGAATGTCTGTAAATCCTTCTCCATTTTCAGTCCTCGACAAGGTCCCTCACTGAGGCTGAAGCTCATCAACTTTGCTAGCTAA